AGTGGAGGGCACGGCCTCTTCTCTTTGTCCTGCACTCTACAATCCCAAGCCTGCTGAGACAGTCTTTGCAGAAGTCTATAGGCAAGAGTAGTCCTGCTGATAAATATGTACATGCTCCAGTGTTCCTTGCATGTTCAGGACCTTGATTAGAACAGGAAAGGGAATTGATAGCTGACCACAGATCATGGGTACAACAGAAAGTACCTCAGCCTGAGGGCCCAAAGTGCTTTGAAGAAAAAATCAGAGCCAGCTGTAACCATTTTTGAGAAAAAGTTCACCTTCAAACAAGAGATCAGACAATATCTTCTAAACCAACCCAAACGTTTTCTCTCATCTGCTGAGTTACTAGAGCTCTGTTTGCTGTTCTGTGCAGCCAGAGCAGTTAATGACTATCCAGAATTTAAGATTTTAACTATGATAAGCCTAAAATACCTAAAGGACCTTCCTCTGAGCTGCTTGACATTTTTGGAGTATGCAAACCTGGGTGTTCAAGAGGATTGCATGTTAGAGCAGCAGAAATCACAATAATCTGTGAGATTCATTTTGAAAGTAACTGAAATGCCAATGTTAAAATACAATGGCAAGTAATCTGCTGCAGATTAGGAGCCACAACTTGTATTAGCACATGTCACTGTTTTGAAGTCTTCAGTGGAGGAGTCATTGAGTTAAAATTTTCATCCTACTCTAGCCTAAAGCTAGTGGATGGACAAAGATCAAGGATTTTTTTTTCCCTTGATATTTCCCTTCTGGTTCCCTTATGCCCCCACTTCCTAAAGCCCAACCATTTCAGAATGTCACTCTCATCTCCTTGTGAACACAAGGACACATCACTGCCACTTCTAAAACTATTTTGGCAACAGAGTTATCAAACAGGACTTCTAGAAAGTATTCTTCTCAGCTCTATATTCCACATGTTCTTGTCATCTTCTCCCACCTGCTAAGGTATAATTCCAGTAAGCACAACCTTGTTTTGTGTGTTCTCTCTTGCAGCTCTTAGAGGTGTCCCTTATTAATTTCAAAAGATTGCTGTAACCAGTCTGCTGTGTAATGAAGGTTTTGAAGTTTTGTCCAGCCCTTTATGCATCAAGTCCTTATTCAGCTGTTTGAGACGTAACCTTCATCTTGGCAAAATATGCTTTTACTAAGATTGACTGAGTGTCACAAAAGAAGGGTCTACTCTACTTTTCATGGTGATGGTGGTATTTTCCATCTCTTCATTAATATTTTCATCTTTCCCTCTCAGTGGTTATAATTCAAGCAGGAGAGAAAAAACCAAACATCTCCATTACTCTTCCTAGTAACTCCCTTCTCTCCTGCCACTTTCTACCTGTTGAAGCATTTTTCTGAATGGAAAACTGTTCATGAGACACTTAGGAGAAAATAAGCTTATGGATTTGTAGATAGTAATGCTCAGTAAGGTGTTTTGAGCCTTATGAGTCTCATGATCCACTGTGTTAAAATAATTACAGGTTTAAGGAAGTGCTTTTGCATGAGTCTTCATCTCTTTTGGCACCCTGGCAATGAAAAGAGAGGGACAGTTGGATGAAGCAGGTGACAAATTTTGTAGGTAGGTAACAGCACAGAGAGTAGCTATCCCCAAGCATGAGTTGATGTATGTCTTCAAAGTCTGGCACTGACTTACACCTTTTTTTTTCCCCTAGAATATCCAAATTTACCACTACTTCCACAAGGTTTCACACATTGTCTCACTGATGGAAGAGTGAGATAAAACTGATTGTGATGTCACCAAAGCTAAGGAATAAATGTCCCCTCTTAACTGTTACAGCAGCTGCTATGAAATTCCTTGTTCTCTCCAATAAGGAAAAAAAAGAAAAAAAATATCCTCGTCCTCTTATATGCTGAATTTTCTTGTGCAACTTTATTTTATTTTATTATGGATTATGGTGGATTATGGTGGACTTGTCTTGTTGTTTTTTACTCCCATGTACAGGAACAAATCATAGAATTACTTCAGTTGCATGCTGCTACTTGACTTCCAGGAAATTTAAATGCTGAATTTTCCTGGAAAGAAGTAATACAGCATTGAGTATGCGGTGCCATGCATGTCTGTTGCTTGTTAGTTTCAAAAGGTTACCCTAAATATGTGTACAAATGCGGAACAGGTCTATATTGCTTTGAAGAGTTGAGCTTGCATTGTTCCTTTCTTCCTAATAGAAAGTATTTAAGTGAAGTTTGGAGATACATGGTTCAGGGTTCAAAGTGTGGGTGCTCCCAGCACAAATTCTGGCACATGCATTCCTTGTTCCCTATCCAAAGGAGCCAGGTCTCTCCCAGTTCTTTGAAGTTCAGAAAAAGAGATGAACTGAAGTTAAAAGGGTCAGGGTTTATGTGCCTCACTGGCCTCATGAAAGCCCTAATTGGGGAGACAGACAAAACAAGTTTAGTATGTTATTTTGAGAGGTGCTGCATTAATACAGGGAAAGACAGGCCCTGCTACTACAGTGGGTTTTCAGTGCAAATGGACAGAAAGGAGAGGGACAGAAGGAAGGAAGGGAGACAGAAATGCAGAGGCAAAGCAATTGGTTCAAGTTTGCACAGGCTGTTGAGTGACTGCTATGATTCCCAGCACTTAATAGCTTGTGCTGCCTCCTGAGGCAGCAGTGGCCCCGATATACAGGTGTTGATAAAGAGCAAACCAGGAAACCAAATAATTCTGCAGAGGCTGTTCTGTGTTTTCAAAGCCCTTTTGCAGTGGTGCATATCAGTGGGAGAAGGTGCTCTGAAGGTGGGAGTACTGTTCTGCAGCCACAATTCTATTTATGCTCTTGCCTGATATGCAGCTTTGTATGGACTTTCCATTCTGTAAAGAGATGGATCCCTTTTAAAAACATACCTCTTTTATTATTAAGCATTATTCTTCTTTTATTGGACTAGTCCTCAAAGCTTTAAGGGCATTAGCGTGGAAGAACATTAGAAGCCAATTAACATGCTGCCCAAAGGTTTTTAGGCACAGCTAAAGTACTTTGGTAGAGAGCTGAAACACTGGAGGTGCCCCCCAGACTGGGCTGGCTCCACCTGCAGCCCAGGTAGCTCTTGCTTATCCCCCTTACCCAGAGCAGGTTTACAAGCATGAATTTGGCTTTTACTGTCCACATTGGAAGAAGCTGCTGAGCCATTACTTCTAATATTAAATTTTTCATAAGATCATTTTTGGAATTGACATAGAGATGATGTTAGATTATTATAACCAAGCACAGGAACATAATTACAGGTGGAAAAGATGCGGATCCACAAGGATCCCTTTTCTAAGATGTGTCCCCTAGCAAGGAGGACTCTGAAAAGACCCATCTGGAAATATTCAGCCTGGCATTGCAGATGATGTACTTTATTTTAGGTGCTAATCCGGATTTACAGTATTTGATAAATACAGTACTTTTGTATTTCCTCATATTTTATCTGTCAGGATTTTGGTTAAGGAAAAACACAACAAGCTCACTAGAAGAGGGACAGCTAACCTGAATGATCTTTAGCTTTCAGTTGTCTTCCAGCCTCGGAGGATATGAGGACATATATAAACAATGTGAGATTCCATCAAGGGGACCTCCTTTCCTGAGTGCCATACAAAGTGCAATAAATGTGTAGAGTCAGGCACAAATGTGGTGATTTCTGTAACTGAACAGCTGCAGCTAACATGACATTTATAATGCACGGCAGAGAGCAAGTCACCAAGGCAGTGCAAGCATTTTGTTGCTTTAGCAAACGTCTTCATTGCACTGTGGCTTTTTTCAAAGTTGAGATAGTTGATTTTTAGACAATTCTAGTGAACTCCTTCTTTAAATATAAAGATTTTTGGATTATTTATCCCACGAAAAATTTTAGTATGATTCGATGAAATGGAACGAAAAGGCCAACTGTGAAATATTTAAAAAGAAACAAATGGGGGGGGGGGGGGAAGGGGAAGATTTAGCCTTACTTATCACCTAGTGCAAAACTCCTCCTTCCAAAAATTTTGGGAAAGAGCGTCACCTCTGCCGTGACGGGCACGAGGTGGCGCTCCAAGGCCCCGTGTGCTCCCTCCGGGGAGCGCCGCGGTGTATCCATGGAACAGCCGGGCATGGAATCCACCGCCGCACACACAAAAAAAAATCAGCGTCCGGCTTTAAAATAGCAATAGGCCGGACCCCACAGCCCTAAGGGATTAAGGACGGGAATGCCCAAAGTAGAGGTGTAAACACGCGGAAAGCAAACAGCTTTGGCACCGTGCGGTAGTGGTTTGGTTTTATTGGAGGATAAGGGGCCGTGGTGCGGAGTTTTGCTGAGCAACTTTTCTTACATTGCTTTCGCATCTCTTCAAGCTTAAAAGTACTTAAGTGCTACTTTCTGGGCAAGTGTATTGTACTGACATATATGTGTATTTGGGAGGAATTTGTCAAAAAGAGGCATCTAAGGCTATGACAGGGTGTATTTATCTTCCAGGCGACACGTGGAACTCATGCACGACAGGCAGCCAGCCTCTCAGGGGAATTAGGAGTTGAGACAACTTAAAGTAGCAAAGCATTTCAGCAGTGGGGTACTTGTAAAAGAAAGGTGTAAAGCCAAGAGGGGCGGCACGGCTGTAACAAGCTATTTCAGTCCTTTAAAGACAGTCTGAAAGAGTTTAGGGTCACGGGGCTTGCCTCGGAGGGAAGAAATGTCTCATGTTTGGGTTTAAAAGTGAAGGACTTTCGCCTCCAAGGTGGTGGTGACAATGACACTCACATGTCCGTCTGCAGCGGAGATGATTTCGGGGAGAGCATCTCCCGGGCCGGGCCAGGGCCGCAGGGATCCCTTTGCGGAGCCGTGCTTGGCCCGAGTGAAGGGCTTGGAGGAGCAAACCTCGGGCTGGAAAGACGCACTCAAAGCCCTTGAAACGCTGGAGGAAGCCAGCAGCTGGTGATGAAGTTAGCCGAAGCTAAGAGGCAGGCGGGGAGGGAGGAGGGATGGGGGATGAGAAAGTTGTCTTTTAGCCTGAACCCGAGACGGGGGAAGGATCCCTGGCCGCGGTTGCCAAGGAGATGGGCAGTGTCCGCCGGCCTGTCTGCCCTCACCGCCGCGGCGTGGGGGGGTGCCCCTCCGTCCGTCCGTCCGTCCGTCTGTCCGTCCATCCGGCGGGGGAGGGCGGAGCGCGGAGGGTGGCGATGCTGCGCGGTCCCTGCCGGGTCCCCGCCGGCCCAACCTGTCGGGGCGGCGGCGGCAGCGAGCCGGGCAGCGCCGCACGCCCCTGCAGCCGGCACCGCCCGGGGGCACGGAGCGGCTCCCCGCCGGCCCAGCGCCCCCTCCCCGGGGCGGCGGCGGGGCCCGCGGCTCTGCCCCCGGCCCGCCCCGGCACCGGCACCGCCCCCGCCGCGGGAGCCCCGGCGAATCAGCGGGGCGCTGTCAGGGCGTCAGCGCCGGCGGCTCCGCGGGGCCGGCCCCGAGCGCGTCCCTTATCGCAGACGGGCACCGGGGATCGCATCATTAGCATGGGCACTGTTTGCTTTTCGCGGCGCTGCTGTTTGCTTTTCGCTCTCGCCTGGGCCGGCAGGTTGGCGGGAGGCAGCGGGGGCGCAGGTAAGAAGAGGGGGGCTCCGCCGCCGCCGGGCTGCCTTCCCCCGGCGCGGGGCCGCGGCCCCGGGGGGACCGTGTCCGTCCGCTCCTCTCTGCCCGCTGTAAGGTGTTCGGGGGGAGGTCGCTGCTCCTAGCGCCGAGGGGTTTGGAAGTTGCGGTGGGGAGGCGTTTTCTCTCGCGTTTGACACAGCCGGAGCCGAGGGATTTCTGCAGGGAGAGATGGGGAAGAAAAAGTTACTTTCCTTGAGTGCCTACGAGATAAGCCCGTGCTGAGCCGTGGAGACTCCGCAGAGCAAGCGTTGGCTGGGATATCTTCACAGGTTTTCCTTGTCTGCGCATTAACCCAAGGACCCGGTGTTTTTAACAGCGGCACTCGTATCAGTTCATTAGCTCTATACTTTGTCTTTGCTTCGGTGTTTAACAAAAACGAACCAAAAATCGAATACCCCCCCCCCCCCCATCCTCTCTGCTTTGGAATGTTGCAAGCCCGAAGTGATTTCTCAAAGAAATGTATGCAGGTTTTGAAGTTGTGCGAGGAGAAATCTTTTAAGGTGAAGTACGAGCAGGGGCAGGCGTCGGGGGGGGGAGAGGGGGTGGAAAAATAATCCCTGTTCCTCTGATAGAGGAGTTTAAATGTAACAAAATGAACGAAGTCAGCCTAGAAGTTCTTTAAGTCCCAGTAATGCAATGTGAGATGTGGAGCGGAGCTGGGGCTCATACTTTTTTTTGCCCTTTCATTTGACTCATTGGCATTCACGCCTGACTCCCAGGCATCCTCTGGTTGCTGTGAAATGTCCCCTTGGCTCAATGCAGTTTGAATTTTTGACGGCATTATAAAGAGTCCAGCTGTCACTTTTGCTGTTCTTGATGGGAGGTGGGTGCCGGTTTAATGACTCAAAAGTATGAACCAAAGCATTAAAAAAAAAAACCGCAGAGAAAACACCCCAAAAACTTCTTTTCTCTTTGTGCTTGACTGAATCTGTGCCTGATCTGGGCAACACCTAAGCTAATTTACGTAAATCATAGCTAGATCTGAATTGGCTCAGCGGTAAAAATAAACGAATGGACAAGAAAGAAGGCAACAGATTACAGCAGCTCTGCCTTAGTCCGGAAAATTACGACGCTCGGTGTTCTGTTCCCCTCTTTCTTAAAAAAAAAAAAAAAAAAAAAAAAAAACAAAAAACAAAACAAAACAAAAAAACCTGAAAAACTAAAACAAACAAACAAAAAACCTCTACAACAATAACAATACAGAGTCCGCTCAATGCTCTCTCTGGGATTCCAGAGGTGCCCCGCGGGGCCGCCCCGGTCTGCACCTCTCAGAGAAGTTCTCTGCTGTGTGCCATGCTACAATGTCTGCTTATTCTCCCCTCTCTAAATACCCCCCTCCTGTTCCCGGTGACTTTGAAGGATCCATGTGTTATCACTGGACATGGCCGAGTGAGCACTTCTGAAACAATTAGCGTTAGGATTTCAAGCTCGCAACAAAACTGTTTTCACTTTAGCGCACCTTTTTGGGGATGTGTTAATCTAATTGGGCACGACACCAAGCGCGCACGCCTCTCGCTGGATGCCCGCCTGCCTCCCTGCGCAGCACCCCTGTCTCCTCTCTATTCCTGCCCCTAAAGCTGTGCTCTGGGCAGGGCTGCGGGTCCCTCTCTGCCTGCCCGTGTCCTCCCGGGAGCCCCAGATGCGGCTGCGGCGTGGGGCGGAGGAGCCCCCGGGAGCTGCGGGGTTGACGGGAGCTGCGGTGCCCGGGGAGCGGCCGTGGGCACTGCGGGGCAGCTCAGGGCTGCAGGTGTTCCCAGCGCACCCCATCCCTGAATAGGTCGGAGTTGGGCTTTTTTGTCTCCCCCCCTTCCCCGTGCTCACTTCATTAACATTCCCACGACTACCAGATCTCCACTCTGTCTCATCCTCCTCCCTCCCCATCCTCTTCAAGTCTGGGAGAGAGAACGAATGCCCGTCACTGAAATGTTTGTAAAGGCTTCCTGCTCTGAAAACAAGAAAAGCCGTCTGGGTCCCCCCTTTCAGAGTCAGCCGTCCCCACCCTGCTGGCACTTTTTTCCCCCTAAATGTTAGTCCAAGCAGATGATGTTATTGCAGGTTGCTTTCCTCCACTCTACCTTACCGAGTTTCATATGGTCTTCCATTTATTTATTTTTTTGCTTCTCAGTAAAAAGTATTAATGTGGTTTTGCTGTTCAAATATTTCTTTTTCCCGTCCCCCCACCAGCACAGTTTATTTAAACTAGGGTCTGTCTTTATAAATTAAGAAAATCTCTGTGCTAAAACATGCAAGTGGTATTTTTCTCTCCTCTTATATGTAATTTAAGCATTCTCTTGTTTTACTAAGATATGGGTCTCCATTACCAGACTAAAACAGCAGAAGCTAATTTCTAGTGTCTAAGTATTTCATTCATAGTGCAGAAATGTGAGACCGAGTCCCTCCAGTTCCGTGGAGCAGTGCTTATAAGCGACTTGAGGAGAATATCACGTTCTCTGGTTTAGTTATTTATCCTCAGATGTTCTCATTTCCAGCATGGCACTGGGAATGCAGGCAAACAGCTTCAAGGGGAGTATCTATCCTTGGTGTTTTGTGGCTCAGGTCTCCCTTCTTATCTGTCCCCTTGGGGTTCCTTCTGTGCTTCCAGATGTTGACGAGTGCGCAGAAGCTACGGATGACTGTCACATCGACGCAATTTGTCAAAACACACCAAAATCCTACAAATGCATCTGCAAGCCGGGCTACAAAGGGGAAGGGAAGCAGTGTGAAGGTAAGGATAGATCGGCTCCTCTCCCGTCTCTTCTCCTCTCCCTTCTTTTATTTGTTTGCTCTTTGAAAGCTTTTGTAAATAGCTGAATTCCTGAAACGATTAATGCAGATTTACAGCTGCTTAACCTCAAATCTGGGTGTTTATTGGCAAGCATCCCCCTGCTGCTTTTGCTAATTGTCCAGCACTGCAGACGTGGTGCCCGCCAGCCTGTTTTTGAGAATAAAATCAAAAAGGGGGTGTAAGGGGATGGCGGTGTCTGCTAGCACCAGCTCCTCCTGGGCACTGGTGCCAAACACGTGGGTGTGTCCCGGCCCTGGGATGGGATGGGATGGATTGGGATGGGATGGCCACTGGACAGCTCCCCAGCAGAGAGATGGAAAGGACTCAGCATGGTTTTCCCCAGACAAGTTACAGAAGGTATTTTTCTGTACCTGCTCAGACAGGACGCTGGATTCTCTTTGACACTCTACATGTGTCATGATGGTATACTTATAGTCCTTGGAACATTTTAAAATGAAGCATTTCAGATTGTTGTGCTTGAAAAAACTTACTTCTCCATGTCCTCACATCAGTCTTGTAATTAAAAAAGACCTAGCAGGTTTCATTAGGCTCTGTGGACACTCGTATTTTGGATTTTATGCACTTCATCTCGTCTGTTGAATCTCAGTGGAGAGATTCTCTGGTGAAAAGGACAAATATTGTAATCACAGCAGAATGCCTTACAAATAAAAGATGCAAGGTTGTTACTTTTCCTACTTGTAGGTACTTAGTAGGTATAATATTTTCCTTCCAAGTCTCTCTCATTCTACAGCAGAATGCAGCTTTTTAAAAAATGTCTATAGCCAGTCCATTAAAAAGATTGAAGACCTAGGAAGTAATTTGGTCTACAAAAACTTGAAACCATGTATTATTTTCCATGGACCTCCAAAATGTTTGTTCAAGTGCCCTCCAAAAGCATTTTTGTGGCTGTCATATTTTTCTGTTGTGGGCTTAAATTAATGGAGACAAATTCTGATTGTCCACCTTTTGGTGCTTTAGCATCTCTGAGCTGCTGTTCCTCTGGAAGCTGGATTTTCTGTCTTGCAAACAAGATAATCATTCACACCAATTTTTCCTCTATTCATCCCTTCCAGGGAAAGAGCTACAGAACTCTGAGATAATGTACTCGAGGCCACAGCTATGGAGGTTACAGCATTCCCAGCATTAGTTCTTGTATTGGTGTTCTACATTAAAAATTTCCTTATGTTTTAACTATTCATATTTTAGTTGTTGAGCTCTGTTTAGATGTGGCTTATATTCTTGCTTGTCTAATACACATATATCTCTGCCTGACTTGCCTTGGCTCAGTAAAAAAGCCCCAAAAATCCCAAACTCAGTAAGTAGTAAAAAGCAAGAGTGATCCAAGTAATGATGTACAGAATAGTGGAACATCTGTGTCTGATATCAAACTCATATCTAATAGAATTTAGTGTCTGACAAGCCTGATAAGTAAACTGGGGCAGACTGCAAAACTGCATGGATGTTCAGCATTAGTCAGGTAATGTAAGCTGGTGTTACTGTGCATGATATCTAACTTTTTTTTTTTACAATATTATGTCAACAGTTCTAAAGATTTTGCATTGGTTTTGTTCTTAAATTGGTAATTGATAGCAAATTTTGGTGGAAGCAGAAAGCTTCAGAAAGGATCAGTGGCAGGGCAGGTCTAAGATCTGCCTCAGGCCTGCTGTACATTGAGAGTGGGTTTATTTTGCATCTTGAGTTTGAGTATTCAAAACCTATGGAAATAAACAGACTAGCTTAATTGATTGGTATTTAGTATTCTGTCACAAGACACCCTCAGCTGTTAGAAGTTACCTTATAAGATAAAAGTGACTATTAACAAAGATGAAACCCACTGGATTGCTTTTGTTGTGCTAAAACCAAAACTGGATCATTAAATAATTCTTGTCTTGATTTCAAGGCCCAGTCTTTATAACTGGGCTTTTCAAAATAAGCCTTTTGATCAGTGAAACTAGTTGTCTATGAGAAAAATATTTTGTACAGATAATGAGCCTCTTTAGTTAAGTTTGTAGCAACTAGTGTTGCTTCATGTGTGAAAAACTTTGATTATATCATAACTAACTCACTTATAGCCCAGGCTCTCTCATACAACCAGGTTTTACTAAAGTAGTACAATTGCCATTCATACAGTACAGTGAGCTTTAAAGGCATTATGCTGTCAAATTAATTCTGATAAATTTTAGTGAGCTGCCAGTTTAAGTTGTATTGAGGCATTGCAATTAATTTAGAAATGTGCATGTTTGTTTATTTTAAATGGTAGTCTTAAATATTGCTTTTGTTCACTGAAAAAGCCATTCTAGAATAAGGGAGAGAGTATGAGCAGTAACATTTTTTGGATGATTCTGAGGAGCATATATTTGTACAAGCGTGTCAGGTATACCACTATGTATTTGTCTAATCTTGTGTATTTATTTATAGTTTTTCTAAACAATGGGATCCTTAGGCCAATGCAGTAAATGTGGAGCCCAGCCACTTTGCTCAGGGTTTGCTGCTGTGAGCTGAAGGGTGGGGAGAAATACATACGACACGAATATTCCTTTAAGGACATGTGGAGAGCTCTAGCAGCAATTATATGGAAATGAAACATTTTCCTGACAGTCTGTTAAGTTTCTTCAGTAGGGAATTTCTTTCTGAACTTTGATTTTTCTCTCGAAATGTCTTTTGGCTTTGGTTTCTCCAGAGTTTACAAAGATTAAGGATGACTTTCCAGTTCACAGATCTTTTTCTTCATTTTTTCCTATGGCTAACTTTCTTGCCTGAACCACTTGACCTGTTTCTTTCTACGGAGTGCAGTTGTTTCTCCAGACAGAAGAGTTCCTCATTCTTCTTGTGTCCTGTCTTCTGCTTCTCTCTTTAGATTTCAGTTGGCCCTTTTTCTTTCTTTAATCAGGTATCTGTTACGCTTTGTGAAGCCTCATGGTCAGCATTGCTATGATATTTTCCCATATCATGTAATGTATCAATGTCCCTTGAACACAAATTCTCTAGCTGGCATTTTCATAGGACAGAATAATATGTCCAACCCAGATAACCTTTAAAAAGTAACTCTCTATTTCTAGTCAATAGACAAAATCCATTTTTTCACAATTAATTAATTTACTTGCCCTGGCACACCTGCTGTTACCTAAGAAGTCTTCCCTGTTGTGATTTTAGTCAGGATCTCAAATGCAGTGGGCTGGATTCAGCTGCAGGCATGATCTTTCATGATCCATAGGACTTTGTCCTTACCTTCTCAACATTGAATTTTGGCTTCCACACAGGTTGATATCTCAACAAAATTGTGTCAAAGCAATGGAAATTCCAGAAAGATCAAAAGGATTCCAGGTCCTGGGGTTCCTTATCCCCTGACAGAGCGTTCCTCATCTCCAATGCATTGTTGTGTGTTTGCAGTTGTAGGATAGTCTGTCATTGAATGGTGTAGGAAGGGGTTTACCTCTCAAACCCAGCTCTTTGGGGTTTTTAACCCATGACTACTCCAAACTCTCATGCCATTAATGGTTAAAATACTCTGTATAGTTGCTGGTTGATGTTTACCTATGCACATTTTATATCCAGTTAGTGTTAAGTTTATTTTATAGGTTGATTTTTTTTTTCCTTAGGCTACATTTTCTTCTCAGTGGGACTGTAATTTCAGTAAGTTGCTCTAGCTGTTGGTTTTTTCCTTTTGTAATATACCTTACATGTAGGACCCTTAAGACATGTTTATTGGGACCTGTTGCTTCTGAGTTGTTAAACTCTACTCTGTGCTTTCCCATATTGACTGAGATTTTCCTATTGGAGCATTTTTTCTACTGTCTTTCATAGTATTTTAATACTTCTTCTTCAGTTCTTTTAATTATTCATCTCATAGCATTGTTACAATGTTTCTTGAACTTTTTGTGCAGAAGAGAAGTGTTCACAGCTTTCAGCTGGACTTTTTTTCTTTTTTTTTTAATTCTCCTGCGAAGCTTCATAATGTCATTGATGGATTTCTTGCTGAGGGCAACACACACATACCATGGCAAAGTATCTTGGTAGAGTCTGCCCTGAGAGGGTGATTTTCAGATTTCTGTTCACGTTGGAAATTTGTGCTATACCAGCAGCAGTTCTGCTTGACTGCTGTGTGAGTGGGATTGTGCAGTTCTAGGGATTTAAGTTGGTCACGTGTTCATGTATTTGTAGTGTTTTTCTTAATGTAGATGATCATTCTAGATAAATAGCAGGTGATGGTGATCATCTGCAATGAGGGCCTTTATTCTTGATTGCCCCAGTGGCAGCACCTCACTGGGTTTAAGCATGGAACAATCTCAAGAGAAACCATTCCTGCTCTATCACAGCTAGACTGAGCTTCTGCATATGTCCATTTGGAAACACAGACCAATTGTCCCTTCTGACCAGTCCTCATCATCCTCAGTAGTTTTGGGGATGTGAGGCTAAGTTTCTACTTGCACCTGTTTGTTAGATCTGTTTTTAATGGATTTTAAACAATCTTAGCACTTGGAAAAACATCTTGTCGCTTTCATTTAAATAATAATGATTGACTCTCCAGGCTGGACTTTATACTCCTCTTATAATTTTAATCTTGTTGACCTCTTTTATCTTTCATTTTCTTAAGAAGCTCATTCATGGTCTCACTCGTTTGGTTTTCATTTTATTACGGTCTTTGAAATACCTGTTGTGTTCTTCTCATGCTCTTCAAAAGTGAATCCAAATATTGTGACAGGGCTGCTCTGAATCAATAAACCTGGAAGCACAGAACTTTCCAGACTTCTCATTTCCCAGCTCCCAGTCCAGTATCTCATATAAGAACCTCCTTTTTTCTGCAGGGATAAGTAAGTAAGGTGCTTCTGGGCATCCTTTAAGTGGAACAATGATCCCATTTCTTTTAAGAGGTCTGTGATGTCCCATCAATCCATTCTCAGTGACTCTTTAGTGAGTCATCTTCAGCAAGGATGTCCTGG